CATCGCATTCTTTTAATTCACCTCCATGATGTCATCATCGTCAATCATATATATTTTGTCGCAATGCAAATAAATAATTCATTACCAAGGACGATTCATCTAAGCGAGCGCGCTTATGCACACGTAACATTTCATTTGCAAAGGGAAAAAGAAAAAAAAAAGGATTTCATTTGTAACGAAACGCTCATTATGTAGACTTACTGTCGTTGCCACGCGATTCGTTTTTCCATCTTTCAGCGATTTTTCCTTCAAACGAGACGGAAATTAATATTAAGTTCGAAGGAGACTCAATTATTTACTCGTGCATTCTACGCACGATCGGTGCAATAATTACTGTTTTATTTTATTATATTTTATCTTTCTTTTCTTTTCTTTTCTTTTCTTTTTTTTTTCTTCTTCTTCTCTTTCCTAACGTAACTCGTACAATAGAGATCAAATGAACGTATTTTCGATGCCACGAAGCGAAATCTCATATACATAAGAATTTTTTAAGATTGTGAAAAAATATGTTTGCGATTATATGAATTAATTAAAAAGCTATAATATATGTATATATATATATATATATATATATATATATATATATATATATATATATATATACATGTATATGTTCACAGGCACTATCTGTTCTGAAATAGAAATTTAATATTTAATCTGATTTTTGTTCCTTCGGGAAAAAAAAAATATATATATATATATCAAAATTTTCTTTCTTTCCATTTTATTAACTCACTCGAATCTAATCAAATTCTACAAGATCTAATTAAAGAAAAAAAAAAAAAAAATATATATATATCGACCAATGTGTGATGATTTCTCTGTGAGCAACGAAAGTACTCGCGTTTATAGCTCGATCTCGACGTGAGCCTCCTCGCGTAATTAGTATAATAGGAAATTGTATATATATACATATATAATATGAATAGAGATAGATAAAAAAAAAATATATATATATATATATATAAAGATACGTATATATATATATACACATAAATGCATATACATACACACACAGACACACAAAACAGACACACACAAGATAGAATTTATTGCTATAGAATTACGTGCCTTTTGGCGAGAAAGTCGTGCATCCTGAATATTATGTATGAGGCGTGTTTATGTGGATTCTTTATTTTTTCTCATTCTCTCTCTCTCTCTCTCTCTCTCTCTCTCTCTCTCTCTCTTTCTCTCTCTCTCTCTCTATCTCTCTCTCTATCTCTCTCTCTCTCTTTCTCTCTCTCTTCTTTCTTTTCTTTTTTTAATTTAAATAACGTCGCACATAGTGCATATTCTCTACCATCTAGACACAAATATAGTCAGTGATTATAAAAACGTGGTCGAAGTATAAAATATAAGAAAAAAAAAAATTCGTTCACTGCTTAATACGTACGGCGATAATCCAATTATACGAATTACGCAATAAATAAATTTTATTTAAAGATATTTTTACTTAGGCCACTTTCTCGTAATCACCGACATGAAATAATTTGCGATTTCGTCAAATCTAAATGTACATCGCCAATTATCCTTCTTCGTTTACAGCCTCAGCCAGGACGACGACGATAAAATAGTAACCTGAATTCGATATTTATATAATTATGTTATATTGACGATATTAATATTAATATATTCGATATTGTTTTGAAAGCATTTGATTTTTTCTTGTTATACCACAAACCACATTGACAGGATGAAATGAAATTATATACGTAGATCTTTGTAATTCTCATTTCAAAAATCTCATTTATTTATTTATTTATTATTCGTTCGTTTGTATTCGCTCGATTTTTTTTCCTTATTTTTGTTTTTTTTTTGTTTTTTTTTTCTTTCGTGCATACACATGCATAGTGAAAATCCACGAATTGAAAAAAAATATATAGATATATAAATATATGTAATTAATACGGATCATATACATATATAATATAGAGGTAAAAGGTAAGTTTCGTGGAAGTAATATAATAATAGATATATCGCTGTTTCATTGTAAAAAAAAAAAACAAATGAAAGAAAAAAATGAATGAAGTTTAACTTCATTACACTAATCTGTTATCTTATAATTATATATATAATATTTAATTATTTATATATATATATATATAATATATATATATAATATATATGTATAATGCCTCTCATAGAAAGACAATTCTCGCTCAAATTTGTGCTTTAACATACAAGATAAACTTATAACAAACGGACGGATTATTTAGTTATAATATTTACGATCTTTTTTTTTTTTTTTTTTTTTTACGAGATTATCATTTCGTTTAAGAAGGACCACATCGAATAAATCATTCGGGTAAGTTTAAATAAACACATACACGTATCTACATAATACATATACATATATATATATAAAATTAAAAAATAAAACTTTCAAGTTTATTTATTATAACGATAAAATTTTGATTATTTTCAGTTTATCCTAACAGTTTTGTTCATTAAAAATAGTCATAGTTTTATAACGAATGGATATAGTCCTTCTTAATAATAG